TATGTGTACTTGTATGTTTTAGTCTGTTACTAAATACTAGCAGGAAACTGAAATGGGTACTTACTGCAGATGTTGTATTTTACTGGCTAGGCTAGTGTGAAGCAGGGAAACATATTACGAAGGTAAGAAATAATAAAGAAAGGTGAATGCCAGTGCATAATATAATTTAGGAGTTGCCTTTGTAGGAAAAAGCCTGAGAACTCTTATCTGATTTGTTTTCAGAGATGTGATGCACACATTTCCAGCAATTTGCAACTAAAACGCTGCAGCTGACAGGTAAAAGTTAGCATAGTGCTTTTTTTTTTGTGAAGCAGGCAGAAATTGTCAGTGACAGAATGCAAATTCAGAAGAAGTGATGGGAAAATATTGACTGTGTAAACATGGAATGGCCAAAAGAATTGGGAGGCAAAATGCCACTAGTGCTGTTGCTGTCACGCAGTGGGACGTGCAGCCTGCTGCTGAACGGTCTTGTGTCAGTACCTGTGAAGATGCTCTGTCAGGGCTTCAAAAGGTTGACAAACTAATTCAATCAGTTGGTCACTATCACAGAGCTAAAGAATCAACCTATTTCACATGACAGATCAAGTGGCTGCCTTTTCCAATGTGATTTGGTTTAGGTCAGCTGTCAGATGCAAAGAAGTGAGTCCAGCATTGTTACCCAGCAGTTGCTGCCTGCTCAGTGCAAAAGCCTCTGGAAAGCAACGTCCTGAAGAGCTGAACACATCCAATCCCAAGAGGATCAGAATTTGCCCCATTAAGGCCAGGTGAGTTTGACCTGTAAAGAACATTATACTGTGTTCGGTATCAATGTAGGCATCAAAAAGAGTCCTGTTGTGGAATCTTCTTCCTTATGCTAAGAAAATGTGGCTGTTTACAAGAACAGCCGAGTTATTAATGGAGTAGAAATTTTCTTTGAGTACTCTGCAAGCTTTAGTCCCTGTTGGAAGCAACTCGTTCTATTTATAGCTTTAGTACAAATTTTCTGAACACAGTTATTGATTCAAATTTTCTTTCATTTTATTGCTAGTGATTTAGCTGAATAGCAAGATAAAGGTACTTGAGCCAAACAACAACCCAATAACAGAAGAGTACAGAACTGAAATAGGGCTTGATATTCTACTGACCAATTAACATTTTTATTCTGGGGCAAAGAAGTACACATTTGCCTTTAACAGAATGACCGACCAAATTGCTGTCAGTCTGCCAATCTGATAAAGGTCAACTACTGAAAACCCAGTCTGTCAGTACACAAACTAAGTGACCTAGGCAGTCAGAAGTTCATTTGTTGTTTTGAAAGAAAAGTACACTTTTTTCATAGATGCATCTGTTCTGCATCAACTACAAAACCTTTAATGAAATTTTATGGTGGAAATAATACTATCAACTTTCTTAATTATACTCCTTGCTAATTGGGGTTTCTTTGGATATCTTGACAACACAAACTTCGTTTAAATAAAATGATATATTTGAAGTCCTTCAAAATGTTTTTTACTTTAAATTTTAGTCAAACAACTCTTCCCAAGACTGAAACTGGCTGAATGAAACTGTCAGGGGTGGAAAAGAGGAATATGGCCACTATTCCTAAGATAGACAATTATTTTGTGTAGAGATTCACATTTTAGATTGTAGAATGAAACTTTAACTGTTGCTTACCTATTTTCAAATTACCTAAGAATGAAAATATTTTAAGCAGGTTTTACTCTCTGTAGAGTGCTGGCCGAGCAAACCTGGCTGTGGGACCTGGCAGTGGAGCCAGCTCTCCTGGACTGGTGCTCTCGCATGGCTGATGCTCACCAAAGGAAAGGGCCAGGACTGGGCACCACAGAAACTTGTAGAGTAACTTTCCTATGCAAAGAAGTTTGCACAGGAAAAGTTTATCAGTTACTACAAAGAAATTCCCTTATTTTCTTGGTTAGGAGTTGATTTATTTATTGCAGTCTTGTTTATATCCCTCCTAAGAAAATAATTAAAAAAGATGTCATCCTCTAAATGTGGCTGCCTGCACGATCATCGGCTGGACACATGTTTAATTTTGGAGTCAGCCTGAATAGTTGCATCACCACACTGAACTAAATCTCTCCCTGCCATGTGTGCCCAGAGGGAGCATTTTGAGTGTTGCAGCATTCCTCATGCCAGGGAACAAATAGCATTGCAATGTGTAGGTACCTTTTGGTTTTGTAGAAATTTCAGGAACTCACATCTGCCAGTAAAACTATCATGCAAATTAGATGTTCTCTCTTAATACGTAAATGATGTACTTAGTATTTTAACATCCCTTTTTCTTTTCAAAAGTACCACACATGTACATTTTTTTATTTGAAAGAGGGAAGCTGCTCCCCCTGCTAAGCTGCAGGTGTCTTAGCCACTTATCTCTTTTGTCCTCTCACTTGCCTCAGTTCTGGTGTCTGTTATCTGCAGTAACTTCTTTCATAAGGGTGATGGTTTTTTACATCCGTGTTCTACCTTTCAAAAAAAAGAAAGCTTAAAGGAATTAAGATTTAATCTGACTTGTATGTAGGATATAATAATTTCCTTATAGAGATGGGAGAGCTTGTTACAGAATAAATTACATAAATACTAAGTGAAAGCACTGCACAGAAATCCTCAATCATAATGCTGAATGTATCTGCTTACATGATTCCAGTAAATAAGCGATTACCGAAAATGGCTGCTAATTCTTCTGTTGCTCAGATGCTGCCAGTTTTAGAAGCTAGAAAATACAAATTTATTGTTGTTTGTTCAATCCCTGTGTTATTGTGTACTTCTGTTCCCTTATTAAGCTGGAGATAAGCAGAACTATTTCTGGTTTATGTGCTTGTTTGAGCAGAATCATCACTAGTTCAGCATTACTGTAGAGAAGAAATTGATACCCACAGGATGTCATATAAGCAAGAGGGCATTTCCCCCCAGTTTATGCAGTGCCTCTGTGCTGTGAGTGCACAGAGGAGCATGTAAGCACATAGTAGCAGTATTTGTGGACATTTGTGGGGCACTGAGACGTGTGTGTGTGAAGCAACAGGTTTACTAAGGAGATGCTGACTTCTCTAAAGTGGTTTGAAATGAATCAAGGTGGCAGCATTGGGGAGCCTGATGCCTCGAGTTTTAGCTATCACATCAACCTCTTTCTTCCAATGTGCCTAGAGCATGCTTGTCTGGCAGCTTGCTCTCCCCCAGCTTTCCACTGTCTGACAGACCTCTGGGTGTTTGTGTGATCTTTCTTTCCTATTGTTCTCCTTAGTGTCACCAGAGGGATGTGGGTAGAGAAGCTGAATGTTGGCACCCTGATTTCTGTCCCACGAGGACAAGTGGCACTGAAGGAAGGGCTTGTTCATCATGATCCCTCTAGAAGTTGCTCCCTCTGACTAACACATCTTTCCAATTGCAAGTGTGTTTCCCTCACCAATCCCAGAGGTTCAGGAACACACAGCCTCTCCTAAAAAATCCTAAAGTGAGAAAGGAAAACCAGCAACAGCACAGAAGCTCCTAATGATGTGATTTTTTAGCCTGATTTCTGATTTCCTCCTGAGCAAGAATGCTTAAGAGTGATGGTGGTTGATGCACTAAACTATAGATTTTCAATCATAAACTTGGAGTGGTGAGCCTAGCCTAAATAGTTTTCAAGAAAGAGTTAAAAAAAGAGGAAGGTACACTTCAGCTTTTCTTCCTCACCGCCTTCTGAACTTACCTTGCATTGAGCAGATATCAGACATCATCCTGAGGAGATGGAATAGCTATTTCTTGCTCTTTGTTTTTCACAGAACTAAGTCAATTTTTTTTTATTTTTCAAAAAGGAGGAAAAGACCAAAGTAAGGAATTAAACATATCACTCTAAGAACTTCGTAAAAGGGGCACACATTAGGTCATTTGGCCCAACAGTAATGTCTTGATAACACAAAAGTTTATCAACATGTAAATGCAATAGCAATGTTTCTATTAAATCTATAGAAAATAGTAATTGTAGAGCTATTTTTGCTGCACTTTAAGGAATTTATCCTCCACAGCAGTTTTTCCTTGAGATTGTGGAAAGTGTAATACATCAATTTTTATTAATTGATTTGATTGTTGACGTTTACATCATCTACATCAAGAGAAGCAAGATTAAGCTAGCAGACAGCAGAGAAGCCAGAAGAAAATTAGATTTTAAAAGTCTATCTGAATCTCATTTACACTTTGCAATGCAGGTGTTGCAGTCTATTTCTTAACCAGTACATTTTAAAATCAAACTGTGCTCCTTTAAATTGCTAAATAAGATTTCTGCTCCTTTCTGCTTCATAGGCCTCCTCTTTCCTTGAAGCAAACTTAAATTCCTTCAGGAAACAGGAGGCTTCAGAAATGGAAACACCATGTGACAGTGGGGAAGGGCCATGCTGGCTGAGGAGAGCTCATCCTTTCCAGGGTCACTTTGCAGAAACCCCATATTTCTTAGTGATGGGATGAAAAGGAGCAACAATAAAATATATGTTTTCAAGGGGGAAAGAAATTGTGCTAAACCATCTCAGTCCACCTCTGCCAGCCACTTTATGTTCCCTTTCAATGTATGGGTAGCTCCCAATTATATCTTTGTTTAACTCAAATTGCAAAAATAACCCCTTGTTTGAAACTGTTTCTACATATAAAGATTTATAGTGCTGGGAATAAAAATCATCATCTGGATTTCATTAAGATTTTCCTGGCAAGTAATTAATGCTGAAAGCATGTTTTGATCAAGCATCTCCACTAGCAGCAATGGTAAGTGAGTTAAAAGCAGCTAGCATTATAGAAATAGGTCTACTTGGGCTCTGAAAGTTTTTGCTAGTTTTCCCAGCCCTCAGCAAATGGTGGTGCTAGTACCTTATTTTTCATTCCCTGTGTTTCCTCATTTCATGGTCATATCAGCCTCTTGGTGACTGCCAATGAGCGGATCTCATCATAGCTGAAAATTCAGGAACATGTGCAAAGAAGCCACCCAAATGGACAAGAAATTTGAATATTCTCTCTCCTGGCTCTTTCCTTTAGAATGAGAAGACTGCAGGTATGAATCTGTCAAAGTAGGTAATTAATTTTTTTTGTTGTTTCTGTTTTGATTTATATCTGTTGTGACTTAATTGCATGTCTCTACTTACATGTACAGTAAGTCAATGTAGATTTTTATGTGTTATACCTGTTGTGCATTTTTGTGTTCTAGACTATGAGAGCAGCACTCTGTCTCAGCCTGCTTTTGGGAGAATTGGCTTTTGGAGCAATAATCAGTAAGATGTGGGATGCCCTTTTCCCAAAGCAGAAATGACAGCTTATCTACTGTACTCCAAGTAAAATACATAGTATACAGCTCCCTGTGAAGTTCCACGTTGCAGAAATACCCACTGGCACCAAAGCAGTGTTTTACACTGTGCACCGGGCTGGGGAGGTACCTGTGAGATAACCTTACCCTTGGTAATGCTTAATAACTTTTTGTCTGTATTCAGTGGGGTTATTGATTATATGGGAAACTATCAGCTACAGGTGTACCTTTGGAGAAATTTCCAGAAAGTACTGATAACTTGGAACATACAGTGTAGCAGCAAGTGTACAACTCCTGTTCATTTCACCCATGGAAAATGACAAGCTGGAAAAGCCGTTATGAGTTGTTTTGAGAGGTCCGTGTTTTATCATCAGCTTGAAATTGTGCTTCTGGCTGTTAGTCACTGGGCTGCCAAAATTCAAGTGGCTTGAAGTGTGAGAGCTACTGGACCTGCAGGGCAATAACGGGAAGGAGGTTATTTTATGGCTGATCTCCCTGCCTGTGTTGTGTGCTTCCCTCTGATAAGGTGGCTGTATCAGCCCCACCTATTAAAGTTGTCTGACACTTCCCATTACAGACTTTGTTTTCAAAGTAGCCGAACTATAACTGTCTGAGTTGAAATCTGACTTTTTGTACTGGTGTGCTGAAGTGCTTCATGTGAAAATTAATCAAAAAAAGTTCCCCTGGTTTGGGGTTTTTAAAAATAAGAATAGAAAAATTGTTTTGCACAGTGAAGATAATCCCCTCTTCGTGGAACTCTAAATGTAGTTGTGTGATCTTCGATCTGCAGGTCATGATTTCATGATCTCATTAGTCTGAGGAGAGTCAGTGTAGGCTTTGTATTAATGTAGAAAATGTGGACCCTAATGGATTTTTTTCACGTATACTGTGTGGGCTGTCAAAGGTATTTTAAAAGTTTGAGCCTATTTGGCTCTCATTCCTTGCCTGAGTGCATCTGTGTTTTCTGAGTGGAGACTTGACACTTGGAAGAGAAGTGGCTATTGGCTAAAGGACAGCTTTTATCTCCATGAAATCAGACCAAATCTGGCAAAGCTGTAAGCTGCTTAAAGAACACGTAATTCCAATATGCTTGTGCTTGCTGGATGTTTCCAGCCTTATTCCCTATAGTTTATCTCTGTGTGCCCAGGCTGGGACAGTTCAGGCTGAGCAGATGTCTCCTGTAACTGAAGTTCTCAAACTGTTGCTGGCTATGCTGGCCCTGGACATCATCACAAAGATCAGGGGCTCTTTCTCTTCATTGCCAATGCTTTATAAAATTATAATATAAAATTATAAAATTTAAAAAAATAACAAAGGAGACCTTGGTCCAGAGACCAAGCAAGAGACTAGGACGAGGGATCTGGCTGTAGAAGACCACAGAACACAGGGACTGGGGGCCTATGGAACAGTGAAAAATGTTTGGGTTACTCTGCTGAGTAAAACCAACCAGGATTTAGTGGTTTGGTTCAACTGGACAAAGAAATTAAGGCAAAAAATGAGGAAGGGAGTTGAGGCATAGCCAGAGGTTATTTTACCACCCTTGAACAGAAGAAATGGGGCTGGTGGGCCATATAGCCAAAGAAGGTGTTTCCTACAGGGGGAAACTGCAGGAGGGACTGGAATAGTGAAAAAAAGTTCCACTGTAATGCCTATGAAAAGATGAACTTCAATCAGAAGGCTAAGCAGTAAACACTAAAATCAGCTCTGAAAGACAGAATGGGAAGACTTAGGTGTGAGAAGGCACCAGTCTAAGAAAGGAAAAAATAAGAGAAGGGACAGAAGATGGTTTTGTGGGTTTTGTGGTTCCAGTCATTCACATGAATCGATGGATCACAACGACGTCCATAACTGAAAGAATGCTACTTTGTTTTTCAGACCAAAACAACTGTACACAACACCTATTCTAAGTGGTTTTGCAATTCTGCAGTGCCAAAACCTCAGAATGAGTGGATTCCAGAGATAAAATATCCCATCCCATGCAACCTTAATTTTGTCCTTGCTTATTTACATCCAGAAAATGCTTCCCTTTGCCTAACACATGCACAAAATAGGGGGATGGAATAGTCTATGAAAGTTCATGTCACAGTTATTTTAGTAGCAAAGGATTTTGATAAATATATTATACTAGCTGGCACAAGGTCCCCCTGAGCTAAACAGTACGTGATATTTTAGAACAGATTATGAAATAAATAATTTTTAAATCTGAGCTATTCTGTTGGAACCAAGAGGAAAATGAAACCTATGTTAAAATGTATGCAGCAAAGTAGCAATAGAAATCTACAAATAGAAGCAATAACAACAACTAGGCTAAGATTTGATGTTCCCTTCCTTTGAATGCCCAAGTTTACACCTCTGTTCTTCTAATGTTCTTCTAATTCTTGGAGAAATTACTTGTTTTTCTCCACAAGACAGTCAAAAATATTATAATATTTCATGCAGAGTGGATGATACTGGATCAGGACCCAGGAATGAATACAGGAGTCACTAAACTGCCCCTCTAGGCACGACCTGAAGGTGTTTAAAGGCTGTGTATAGCTTCCACGTGAATTTGAATTACTGCCATGAACTCCGATGGGTATGTTTTCACCCAAAGATCAGTATTTAATTAAAATTATGTGCATTAAAATATGGTGCTTTTTCTCCCCATCACAATATTGCCATAGTGCTATATGCACTATATTGTGCATATAGCTTTATTTTACTTTTGAATCTGCTTGGAAGAACTAAGTGTTTTGTGTACCTAACCTTTTGCAAGTTTGTTTCTGTTTGAAGATTTTGCCAGCTTAATAAGCAGTAAATGAGCTCCCTGACAGAACAAACCCCTCATGTATTCCAATATTCTTTACCAGATGCTGTCAGCTTGTGCTCAGAGAAGGTGAGCACCTAAATTAGGCGCCTCTTAGGAATGGTCTCTGGTTGTCTGCTCAATGGAAAGGATTTAATTTGCTGTTTAGGACCCACCTCTTTTCCCTAGTTAGCTGTGGCACTAAAATGAGATGTGCACAGTGTGATGTCTTTTGGTTGTCTTCTGTTACTGCTTGGAGTCAGTCTTGTTCGCTCTCACCAGGGCAGAGCTGCCATGAGAAGCCTTTAATGATGAGCCTTCCTTTCATCAGATGCAACAGAGGGCCCACATGCTTCACCTCCCAAAATCAGAGCAAATTCAGCCACAGGCAGGTGGAAGGTGTGTGATTTTGTAATTTACAAGGTGAATGGTTGTATTTTTGGCGACTAAACTCAAGCTTGAATTCCCATTAGGTCATGGCGATTGTAATGGTAAGAAGGGAGAGACAACAATGGAAAAATATATTTTAATTGGAACAAAGTTGTGATTATGCATGTTCCCAAGAACAAATTCTGTTTGCTCTGTGCCAATAGCCGCTAGCTGCACTTAGCAATTTGGAAATTTTGAATTCCAAATAAGAGCTTTGATTCTGTTATTTTCCCACTTTACATGCCTTAAACAGACAGAACCAGCAAGATGTGAATAGGCAAGATTTAACTTTTCCAACCAAGTAACACACAAATGAAACCATATGACTACAAACAATAGCTCTTGTGTCCTATTCCTGCTATTTGTAGGTCCATATATTGTTCCTTTGGCTAGCTACCAGAACTCATAAAATGCTTTTAGGCAGCTGTGTCCCATTAAAGCCACATGTTACATCACATCAATAAGGAACCATAGAAGTGCAGAGCTGACAGGGATTTTAGAAGACTGCTTTTTTATCTTCATAGACTGGGAAAGGATCGAGCATGCCACCCTAGAAGATACTAAAAGCCCTCAGAGGAGCAGATTTCAGAACTCTTTAGACTATTTTGGTATTTCTTTTCTCTGTTAGATAACTCTTTGTAATATCCAGCCTTAGTATTTTTGCATTTTTTTTTTCTCATGGTGGACACTGCAAGCTGTTGATTAGCATCTTTTTATAGAGCTCTATTACTTATTGTAAGATCACTGTCATATCTGGTCCCAGCCTTCACTTCAGAGAAAAGAAACCCAATTAGCACGGTCTTTTTTTATCTTTTCATCACCCCTTCTGTTTAAATCCTCTAATACTGTTACAGTTCTCTGGATTCTGATTTGTTTAATTTTTTTCTTGGGAATGGATAAAATTAATTCTTCATCTGAGGACCCATCAGTGACAATATAGCAATCAATAGCTTTTGCTGCCTAGTTCAAAAATTCTTTCTCTTGTGTTTGTGCATTTGATTATATTCTATAATCTTTCTATAATGTAAAATTAATATAAAACATAGAAATTAATATCTGCCCCAAATAGAAGAACACATGGGTCTGAGTATTAAAAGAATAATCTTTTTTTTAAACAGTATTTTTGTTAACAAAAAATTATGCAATTGCAAGGAGGACTTTTGTTAGCAGTGTCTCTTAAGTCACAGATTTCTGAGTTTTGTTCATACACTGAGATTAAATAGGGAACAGTTTAAAAGCTTAAGACTCATCGCACTAAAAAGAGATGAATTAGGGGGTGTTTGATAGAAATCTTCAAAGTTATGCATGATGTTAACAGTTTATAATTTCTTTCAGTACATGAAAGATAACAGAAGCCAGCTTCAAAACAAGAAGAAGATGGGTTTGTTTTTAATGCAGCAGTCATGCAGCAAGTAAATGTTAAAGTGTGTTAAGGCTAATTTATATGTGTGGTAGTTTACATATGTTCAAGGACTTGTGAATAAGTTTGCCAAAAATATTATGTACATGGTTAGTAAATGGATAAATCAGGGTCAGT